TGGATGTAAACTGCAGCTTGACCAGTTAGTGGATGCGCAGTAATGGCAGTAATTGCAGTTTAAGCGTATTCCGAACCGAGGGGTTAAAATAAACATCGAGAGCGAGGGTTGTGTTTCCTCATTTATCGTTACTCCAGGATGCAGATCTTATGTATTATGCATTAAGTGGTTTACATGTCCATTACAGGCCGACATGCGATGCACACGCTCTTTATTTGCACTTAAGAGTCCTGCGAGAGTAAATGTGGCTTTTCAGGTGGGCAAAACGCAATTTAAAATCAATCAGGAGAAGATGGCCAGGCGACCCGGGACTAACCTCTTTCAAATGCATTTTTAATATCATTGACTTCGACCTGGGATCCTGGAACTCGAAATATACCTTGCTGTTGAAGACCTGTGGACAGACAAAGCCATGTACAATGTGTTAACTGTGCAAAATAGGAAAAAACAAACAGGTATCACTTCAAATGTTACACCGATGTAAAAATACAGCCGTTCTTCTGTTGAGCGTCTTTGCACATTTATATCATACAAACGGCAAAAATAGTGAATTGTACCAAAATTCAAAGAAAATATCCTCTTTAAAATATGCAAAGCGCTGAAAGCCAGGAGGATTTAGGTACATAAATAAATACACTTAAAAAAGAAGACGATCCGTGCCACAAACGATAGCTCCGGCTACGCTGTGTGAGTACGTTCATAACACTTTGTGCAAAATGGTGCCAGACTGGATACGGAAAGCTGGAAGATTCTGCGGGTGCAAAAACGAGGGAAGGTGTTAAGGGATTAAAGATGCCCCACGATTTTTTTTTTTTGTTAATTAGTCATTACAACATTTTTTGCTAATGAGTTGTTTTTCTGGTCTTTTTATGTGAATGAGGTTGTTTTTGTTACAATATCCACAGGCACGTCTTTATTCTTTAGCCCGACTGCGATCAAGTGACAATTATTTACAATTGTGAATCCCACATGGGGTCATAGGACACCAGAAAGGAGTTTATTTTACTAAACACGCATCCATTAAATCCCCACATAATTCAATTTGTTGTTATGTGCTTCAGATTACATTGAAGACACCGTTTCTTATTCAGGGAAACCGTTAAATGAACTTGTTTGTATAGAAAATGCACCTAAATGCTAATTGTGTGTGACTTCTGGTTAAATTGTGCTTCACATGTGGATCTGCACTGCGGTTGTTAGATTTTATATATATATATAGAAATATATGCAATTTCATCAACAGACCGTCTCCATCTTTCTTTAAACATAAGGAATAATTTAGATGTAATCCAATAAATTATACAAAACATAGATTTAACCTCACTAACCCAGGTATGTCCGTGCAGAATGGATCTAGTGAGCCAGTTGAGTCCTCTCACATTTGCCATTTTATTACTGATAACACAAGTATGAATTACCAGAAATAATTGAAAAGCTCTATAATCAATTATGTTATAGTTACATGTTCATTTGTTCGTGGAAATGCAAGAATATGAACGAGGACCAGCAGAAGAAGCAAAACGCTGACAGACTTGGTAAAAAAAAAATCAAATGCAATTATTCAAGTTTTTTTTTTCCAGTCTTGGCAGCCATGTTGAACATCTGCTAAGATAGCATGTTTTGTGTGAAGAATTTCAAAGACTGAAATTGACACACTGAGGAGGAAACGTAGGATTTGATTTACTGGCAGAAAAACAGCATGAACAACAGAATCAGAACATACCGTACAGGTTGATGTATCGGACGCAGCTCTCGACCACCACCGGTATCGGCTGCCCTGAATCCTACACACAGAATCAGAGTGTTATTATGGAAAGCATTTAAACAGAAAATAATGATAATAATAAAAAAATAAAACAGTCATGCTAGCAAGATGTTATGATCAGAAGCTTACAGAGGCAGACTAAATTAGCTTCACAGGGTTGAGGAGACGTTGTTAATCAATTAAAATAGCTGATTGTACAGAACCCAAAATGTGCAAAATCAGTGCATCGGTGTTAGTGTTTGCACCACCATGCATCGCTATCACTACTTTCACAGGAATGCCAACAGCACAGAAATGTTGGTTAGCACACAGTGAACACAGCGTGATGATGCCGCCCTGCTATAGGACAGAGTACCTGACTCCTGGCACGGACATTCCGTCTTCCCCTGGGCAGAGAGCGGTAAGGCACGGAGACAGAGGAAGAGAGGCAACAACAACCACAACAGGTTAGTGAGAGAAGACAGATCGTACAGAATGAGAGAGAGAGAGACAGAGAGAGGGAGAGAGAGAGAGAGAGAGAGGAGGCCTGGCCTGAGAGAATAGCCAAAGCATCAGTGCCTTGTGAGGCGTGAGACATGACAGATCGTACAGAATGAGAGAGAGAGAGAGACAGAGAGAGAGAGAGAGAGAGAGAGAGAGAGGAGGCCTGGCCTGAGAGAATAGCCAAAGCATCAGTGCCTTGTGAGGCGTGAGACATGAGGACATGGCCTGGAGGGGGAGGAGTGGGCGGGAGGGAAGGTGCTACCCGGGAAGATGGGGAGAGGGCTGGGGGATACAGACTGTGTTTTTCAGCCAAAAAGAGGGAAGAGTTCAAGGCTGAATGAATTAAGATTTGAATTTCTGCATTATTTTCTCCATTTACTGCTTCACTATTTGTAAAAAAAAATAAAAAATGGCCATTAAATTACCAGTAAACTAAAAGCTACAGATATAAGGAAGTTTATCATCCTACAAAAAGAATCAAAACAGCAAATCCCCATAAATTAAAACCTTTAAACAATTAATCAGTGGTCACATTTTTTGGTTCGTCGATTCCTCTAGCGTCAGCGCATGCCCTGCTCGCCTGCCGCCGTTTGATGGAGCATCGGAGCAGATGTGGCCATGTGTTTATTTGCATAGCCTGACATGGCTGGTACGTGGCCAACTGACATACATAAAGCCAAATTAATTCAGTGTCTGGAGGCCGGGGGTGTTGGGGTGGGGTGGTGGGGGGGCGAACTCACAAGAGTAAGAAGGTTAAAGCAAACCTCGCACCGGCGCTCTTTTGGAAACAAAAACCGTCACCACAGCGTGTTTGAGCGGCTTATCTTTCCCAAACGGTGAAGACAAGGCGTTGAGCAAAGAGGAAAGTCAGTGCATGAGTGAGACAACGTCGGGATAAAAAGAGTGGTCACAGGCAAGAGAACCCCCGAGGACCGCTAGCAGGACAGCTGAGCTCATGGAGAGACAGAGGGCACAGATGGGCTGATACCTGAATGAAGGTCTCCATATTGCCGTTAAACAGCTTACGGTTAAAAACGGAGCGAGGTCTAGACTTCCGCATTCTCGAGGGTTTAGGGGGAAGAGTGGGGGGCCTGGGGAGATGGTGGGGGTTGTAGGGTTGGTAGGGATAAATAATAATGCAATAGGCATAAATGCACATCACAACACAGACAGTATTCTTTAAAAAGTTGTTGTTTTCAGGTCATTTGCACCTTCGAAAAACATTTAAAACTTTAGCCCAGAAGATCGATGCCCTTCTCATGACTGTACCATAAATGTGGAGCTACAGAAATGAAGACTGGAACGGTTCTCTAAAAGTTTCACCTTGTTTCTTGTGTTTGATTAGAATTAGAATAAAACTTTATTAATTCCTTCGGTACAAGACCTCAAGGAAACTGCTAAATTTCTAAAGATTTTCCCCGCCACCAAACTTTAGGCAAAGTTAAGCTAAGAGGCTGTTCATTGTAGCCTCTTCTAATTCATTTTTAAACGAATGAGCGACAGCAGAGACAGACAGAAAATTGGGTCCAAAGTTAGCAAGAAGATGACATGCAGTAAATGTCCGGGTCAGCTGGGAATCCAACCAGTAACTCACTGCTTGAAGGCATTTGTGCCCATTTGGTTTGCACCCAACCCACTCAGTTATCGGTCACCCAGTCATGAGAGAGGCAGCAATCTTCTCATTTAACACTTGACATGAAAGCAAATTTGAATACACACTTCCCAAAACTATTCTTTCAAACTAGCAAACAAAGTCAGTAAAGGCGACTACTGGAGTTATCCCACACCGTATTCAATGCAGATTTCATTACGTTCAATGAAATGTGCCATAAATCAAAATGAAAGTCAAACTTGTATTCAATTAGTCGTGAGCTCGCCTTGTCAATATTTGCTCATTTTCTTCCCACTCGATTGTTTTTCTTAAACAAAACAGCAACGTGACATGATTCATTTCGCTGGCATTTCATTTCTTAGCACCATTTTTATAGATTAAAACTGGGAAGAAATGCTCTGAGCACCACCTTTTCTAATTTAGTTCCAATCCATTGTTCAACAGATTAGAGAGCTGTTGAGACTCAACCCCTATTCCCACACTGGGAGCTCATTTAAGCCATATCCAGGGACACAGGAAGGATTTTACACATCATCGCCTACTTTATTCACCGTCTTGTCACTGGACATCTTACCTTGTTGTTCCATATTCAGCCCTCTCCCCTAAAAGGAAAAAAAAAAGTGCAGAGAAAGAGACTAAATTAGTATACGCTGGTTTTACAATCACAGAAGTTAGTGGTATGGTTGAGTGCTGGCTGACTATACAAGGCTGGCAGATGGAGACGGAAAGGGGTGTTATGAGAAAACGGGCATCTATTCAGCCAGACTGAATGGGGTGAGCGCCATGGCTGCATTTGACTCACCGCCAGGCAGCGGTCATTCAGCGGTCGCCCTAGAAACGGCACAAGAGCCCCAGAAGGGGATGGCCTGTCTACTCTCTCTGCAAAGTGAAAATGTATCCAGGGGCAACAAGAGTGGGAGGTTGTGGGAGCTGATTTGTACAGTGCGATGATTTCATGATATCTGCAGCGCGTTAGCAGACACACACACACACACACACACACACACACACACACACACACACACATTTCACAACCAAATTAAGGCCTCACTTTGATCAGTCAATCAGAAATGTTTGTTCGGGGATCAAGTCATGTGTAAAGCAGCTTCCAGCACAATCCTTCTTTATGTCAAACACACATAATTCCAACCTTAAAGCGGACGCTAGCGCGAGTCTGACGCTGAAACACGACGACATCAAACGTATTTTTCTTCTCTCCTTTGGCTGAGGTTAATGCATACTGCATATCAGGGATATATGAACAAAGTACGGCAAGAAAAAGCCTTCAAATAAAGTACGACTAGTCCGAGGTCTTTCTGCTTGACAGTCTGGTTTGAGGTTGCTGCATTCTATTTTGATCTACTCTGAATTATCTCATCTTCACAATATATCAAATGTTAATTTGTTTAATACACCACAGTATATGCTACTGTATGTTGACACAAGTTGTACCATTAACTTAATGCAGATTTATGATCCAGAGAGTCTTACACCTTCATATTACCCATTAACCCAAAGAACACGCCTGCAAGATTATTAGGTAGCAACATACTGACATGAAAACATCTTTAGTCACCTTTATGCTTTAATGTCTTCATATTAACCAGAAACGGGATAATGTAGGCCTCAAGCAAATCACGTCTCATTGAGAATTGCAGGGTTCTGTTTAGCCAGTGACCTCGTTATATGTCCAACTGTCACATGAATGAAACAGGATGATTTCACGTTATATGATATTTAAAACTAATTCCTTATAAATGCTCCTCAGCTCCACATGTATAGAAAGCACTCCCCACAGCCTGGGAACCTCTTCCACTGCTAGTGATATACTGCACGGATGCTTCCTGTCATTGGCAGGCTGGTAGATTCCCTCTAATTCATGGCTCACCTTCTCCCAGCGTCTGCTTCAGAAGGTCATGCTTAGCCTGCAGTTTCACAATGAGATTGCTGCCATTCAAGTACTCCTTGTATTTCTGAAAATGGATAAAACACACAAATGATTCCAGGGTTGTTCGTATGTTGTCGTGTAGAAATGCACCAGCGCCCTCAGTCGCCTGAGAACTCACAGTGAAGTAGAAGCCCTCGGTCTCCTGCTGATTGGCTCGCCTCTTAGCGATGTTTGCCTTGCTCATGTAGGAGTCAGAGGAAGCCGATTTGACCGACTCTGTGGATTGACTGTGCTGGAAGGCTTCGGAAACATCAAAGTCCTCCACGGTGAGCATGTCCTGGAGGGTCTGCATGGTGGCGTCCAGAGTCTTCCTCACCTGACACACACACACACACACACAACATGCAAACACGTGACTTTCACATTAACAACATTCACAATTACAGCATCTTTGTAATGTATGAAATGCAAAACAAAAGCAGGAGGCTGGGGATCGGTACGCACAAAACAATAAACACGTATACCTAATGTGCATATTTCTAAATGCTCTTCTCAATGTCACCAACGAGCTACGGTGTAAACAAGGCAGCGGAGATGAAGCCGCTGCAGGCCATTCACGCAGCAGTTTGACTGACACACAGTAAGCAACAGAGTAATTAGCTTCCTAGCATGATGCATCGTGACATAAAAGATTAACCGTGTTCCTTCCATGTGAGCCAGACGGGGAGGGAGTGTGCGTTTCCATATTCATAACAGACAGACACTGACACACACACACACACACACACACACACTCTGGTGACCTTTAAACAGGCCTCTGAGTCACAGTGGCCTTGGTGACTGCAGGCCGGCAGGCCAGAGACCACGCTGGGGTGACCCCCGGTTGGAGGCAGGAGGCTGGATGAGGGACGACCTCACAGATCAGTGTCAGACTAAAGATGAATGCAAATGCAGGGTGACAGGTCTGAAGACCGGTTGCTTGTTGTTACGCGCCGGTGTGGCAGATGTGAGGGTGTCGGTGGCTGAGCCCGGTTTAAAATATAGCACAGCCGAACGAGGTACCGAAACACCTCAGGTGGAATGACAAACAAGACAAATACCTGCTCTTTGAGGAGTGATCAGTCTAAAAATGGCAGAAATGTTTCAGAGGGCTCTAATACAGACGCAGTGTTTCAAATTCTGTTTTTGTGTTTGACATTTCCTAAAGGAGCAGTTCAACATTTTAGAAAACTTGCTTTTTATTTTCTTGCAAAGAGGTGAAAGAAAGGACGGCTATGAGTTTCACGTCCATAGTATGAAGCCAAACGCAGCAGCAGCAACTCCAAAATCCACAAATCAACAATATATCTTTGTACCCCCCATTCAGAAGCCCATTTTCATATTCTGTTTGCATATTCTCTTTTGTTTGCACTATTTCTTATATTTATATGTACTTTTTTTTTCTGTCTCGTATATGTGTATCTCTGTGTTTAATGCTGCTATCAACAACGTGAATTTCTCCACTGTGAGATAAATAAAGGCATATCTTATCTTATCTTATATATCTCAGTTGGTTAGTCTGCACAAAAAAAGACAGGTATGGATCCATACTAATATGGAAGGCTACTGCTTCTTTACTCTCGCACTGCATCTGGCCAATAACTGCAGTTAAACTACAACTTTTTCTTTCCACACTGTGGCTTTTGCAAGAATTGAACAAACAATGTTAACTAACGAGCTTTCGAATGCAGATGACTGCAGCTCCAGACTTCATGGAAAGAGGGGAAACATTTTGCACAACACCAAACAGTTTCTCATACAAGACTCATGTTCCTGTGAACATTGCATCATTTTATAGGCTGTTCTGCATAAAGAGCAGCAGATATGCATCTCTGGGACGTTTTCCTGCTCAGCTACATGTGGCAACACTCACCTGATTTGGATGATAAGATTTCATAGCGCAGTATTTTGCAATCAGGCAGTGACCTCTGCATTTTTACACGTGACTCAACAACTTGTTTCCCAACAGTTTTTAACGTCTATACTTTAAACAAACAAATAATTCCCCCAGTATTATTATTCCTGTTCTATTCTGAAGCTTCGTTTCATCTTGTCTGATTGTTTTTTCCCATCCTGAGCACAATCTCTCTGAGTTTTCGGCGTCATTTTCCAGCAGCAGTGGGCCACAAAGGCTGTCTGTCATTACAACATTATAAACATTTTAAAACATAAAACAAGCAGAGGTGTTTGTTCACTCAGCATAGGCCACATATTTAATCAGTCTGGCTCTAATTTACACTCATCTACTGATTTAAACTCATTTTCAACACCTTGTCTGATCTTGTGCTTGTGAACTGACTGCACGTGTCGAGTACGTGCAGTAAAAATGAATGATTGTACACGAATGACTCGGTCTACTCAGCCATGTGTGCCCCTCTCAACAAAAGGACACTGCTCTGAATAACACTCGGAGCGAGCTTGCCTCGTTTTAAAAAGAACTGCTGACACCGAATCCCTTTAAGACTTGTGTGCACAGAACCTCTCACCTCTTCATTTTCTATCTTCAGTGTGGCCAGGCGAGACTGCAGCTGGTGGTAACGCATCAAGAGCTCTGTCTGGACAGGCTGCTGTGCACTCACCTGGCACACCTAGGATTAAGAGAGAGAGAGGGGGATGATTTAACACAGAGGACTATGCACATAATGAGAGTTAAAACCTACAAACAAACCGTCCCTATCCCTCTTATGTGGCTTACCTCATCCCCCATGTGTGGCTGATAGTCAAAGCGTGCCGGAGGACAAAAGATCTGGCTATGTGTGTCCATAAACTTCAGCTTGTCTCCTCTGATGTCCATGGCGTCCACCGCTCCCTCCAGTAGGTCCAAACCTTCATGGCGAGACGTTTCCAGGCTATATTCTGCAGACAGGTAGGTTCTCATGGTGCGTGCCAGGCTCGCGTGGAACCCTAAATCACAACACTGAGGATAGGAAGTAAACGCCATTATTTATTAATTATAAATCAATAAAAGATCTGCTGCTGAAACTGCAAAAAAAAAAAAAAAGAAGAACTGGCACGAAAAGGAGTCATCTTACATCTATCATGTCTGAAACATCGTGGATGTAGTATTTGGCCACCAGGGCATTGGTAGCTGCCAGATTGAGAAGATAGTCGTTCCGGGCTTTTGTGCATTTCAGCTTGTTTTCAGAGTACTTGGCTTGTCTCTGGGGAGAGAAAAGGAAGAGCGAGTCCCATCAGTGCAAGATCAAAATGGCTTCCTAATGTGCTCAAAGAAAGCATTACAATGATAAACTGATTCTATCTTATATGATCTGTCAATATATGTACTAATAGTGTAGAGACTGGCTTCTTGTAACGACATTTCCACTATCGTTTCTACAGAAATGGGTGAAATATGACACTTTTATTACAAATACATTTACAGATTTGTTGCACTCAAGTGTAGACGTGTCGTTTATACAGTGCATCACATGCATCGATCATGTGTAGGAGCCCAAACAGACCTTCTCCTTCATTTTCTCCATCTTCTTCACAGAACTCCGTCGCTGTGGACGATCGTCGTGACCGTAACGCAGGAGGCTGGTGCTGATGTCGTTGGCCTTGCCGATGTGCTTCTCCTCCTGTTTTTCCGCCTCTTTCAGCTTGCTCTCAGCGCTGAGGCTCTCAGTGTGGTACATGTGGTACGTCTTCATCACCTGTGAGAAGCAGAGGTGAGACTTTTCATCACGGTGAAACTGGAGAGCATTTGTTCAGAGAGATGTGACTTTGATAGAACATGAATAACCAGAAAAGTGGATGTTTTGACATTTTAAAATGCAGCGTTTGTTCAACAGTAACACAGGCACAGTGAAGGGTGATGCTGATGATATGTACAGCAGTTTTATAATTTGCTTTTTGACATTGATATCCATGTCATGTAGAATCCATTCGTCTCTTCATCAGCTACACATCCTTTATCCTGTAGAGGGTTGCAGTGTGCTGGAGCCTTTCCCAACTCAAAATGGACAAGAGGCCGGTCGCTAGTCTATCACAGGGCTAACGCACAGAGACAGACAATCCTGCACGCTCACGCCTACGGCAAAATCAGGATTACCAGTTGACACAGCTGTGGGAGGAAGCTGGAAACCCACGTAGGCACAGAAAAGCCCGAGATGACCAGCAGGTATGAACCCATTCACAAGCTAAAATATTACATTAACACCCCGTTTAACTGCAGGGTAGTGCTACATGTGATGCCAAGCAAACCACACCTTAAATCTTAAGCCTATCGTGCTTCATTTTGTCAGCTCTACATAACAGGGGGACTTGTTGATTAAGCTGCGCAATGATGGATGAGCTGAAGTAAATGATGCCTTGCAACCATTTCTTGTCCTTTTGAAAATGAGGTGCAAAACAGGAGAAAATAAATGGAAAAAGTGACAAAGCTTTCAATAATTGATGTGTAAAACATTCTCCAATTTACTCCAAATGAGGCTAATTTATGCAGATGTACTCCATTGTTGTTCAATGATCAGGTTATGATGAAGAAAAGACAATACGCGGTTACATATGAACTCATGTGAACCCTCTGCTCATCACAAACGTAAACACGAGGGCGTAAAGATTACTCATTGTGCTCATAGGAGAGTCATATTTTTAATGACATTTCCCAACTGAGCCGGAGGTGTTGCTGTGCTGGGTGTGTCTGCATTGTTATGTCTCAGTGTCCTCACCACAGTGCAGCACAACGCAAAAAGATCTCAGCAATGTCAAGCACGAGCTGTATGTTGTCCAAAAACAATCCACACTCCCACCTGCGAGATTTATCGAAGAGACCGCATGTAAATGTTTAACTTGCAACCCCTAAATCAACAGCACAGTCATACGGCCGCTTCTCCATCACTGGTTCTCAAGTTCTGGTTTCCTAGCAACCCCGACTGAACTGGACGTGCAAAGGACGGCGAGATCGATCAGCAGGGGAGGAAGGAGGTTACAAAGTGACAGCGAGCAAACCTTCTCTGCTACACAGCAAACAACAAACTACTCGGTTCCCACAAAAAGAAAGCAGCGGGTCAATACCAGAGACGAGCCCGGTGGACATTTGTTTAACGCATAACTGCTAAAATTAAACATTTCGTTTAAGCTGTGAAACTTTATCAAACCCAAAGTTGAACAGGCTCCTGCTGTTCCTTGTGCCGCGTGTGGGAGCTGCAGACAGGCATTTAATAATGCATGAATCAGAGAGAGGAAAAATCAATACCAGTACAGCAGTAATGTTAAACGTGCTGTATAATGTTACATGTGAGGATATTTTTCACGTGCTTTGTAGTGTATCGTGCCAGCATTTCTGCTTCCAATCTATTTGCTCCACATTCACTCGACCGAAACATCATTTTACGAGTAAAAAAGATGATCAACATCCACCGAAGCTGCAGAAATGCTTTTGATACTCGGTTCTATTTTGTCGTTACGCTACCGCTTTTATAAAGTCTATTCTGTAAATAAACTGTAATTTGCAAAAATCTGAAAAGGACTTCATCGGTGATGAGCCGCTTTCTGCTCCCTCACAGCTCTTTAGAAAAGAAATCAGAACTTCAAATATTTCAATTAAAAGTATTATAGAGGCTGTCAAAGTAGGGCGTAATTACAGTTTGAGGTCACCGTCAGTTTTACAGAACAGTGATAAAAGAGCTCTAACGAACGGACCCAACCTTGCCCAAGGTTTTTCAATTATCTCTGATTGATCACCGGGAGTATTTACCCAATAACAACTCAGATGGAAGGCAAGTGATTAAATCTGCAGCAAGCAGCCAAAGGTTGGGTCTCACAATCAGCAAAAAGTGAAATTAAATCATTCAGTTAAAAAAAGAAATAGGTGTACTGTAAGTATCTTAAAATAAGCTTGTTCTAGTCCATTAGACTGAATTGCAATTCATCTAAAAATGAAAACTACTGCAAACATTAAGGAGGATGCAAGTGTCAGTCTATTTCAAGATGTACGAAACTTAATATTAAGACTGCTCTATTGTTTTAGATATGAGGTAGGATGTTCAATTAGAAATCCTGTTCCTTCTCTGTTCTCCTAAAGTAACTTGCATCGTTGCCTTATATGTGTTAATGTTGTATGTTTTGGTCTGTTCTGTCCATTTTTATATAGTTTTAATTAGTATTTTACCAGCTCCACGCTTTGAATCATCTTTTGAATTAATAACTACAGATCATGGTGTCACTGAGACCCAGAGGAGAACACTCTGGTGAGTTTGTTGTCCCACATACAGCAGATGATATCACTGTTTCAATTCATTTTCTGCAGCCAAATGAAGCTGCAGCAGCATCAGATGTTTTCTATCTACACCAGCACACGGTCCACGCCTGCGTGTTCAGTGTTTCGTATCTATGTACAGGCGTTTCCACGGACACGCGTTCCATATGAGAGCACATCATATGACAATCCACGAAGAGTGACAAATGTCACCACATCGCACAAGCAGAGGCGTCTGATTACATGTAATATTAGCTGAAAACATTACAGTGGCTCATGTTTGCTGTGAGCACAGAGCACCTCTGCAAAACAGACTGCTGAGTCTGCTTGAAGCGCAGCTAGAGGCAAGAACACTCTCTCCTTCAAATGATGTAGAAATTCACAGAGGGAGGAAGAATGTAAATTTCCTCCTTTCACGACCTCGGGAGGGGGAAGAAATGACCTGTTAAGGGCTGCTCTGCTGATAAGGCATATCTGCTATGTGCAGTGTCAGGCCAGCTGCTTCACAGGTTACAGGTTTAGATCTGAAAAAAGTCTGGCTCGAGGATTGATATGCCACAGGCAGCCAACACAAGGGAGAAGCAAAACAAAAAAAGAATGGTACAAATGTTAGGTAAGCAAGGACAACGGTGTTTGTTTGACTCACTGTGTAGAGTTCATTGGTAACTTTCACCAACTCTTCGTGCATCTGCACTCCAATGTCTTTACTCTGCAAAAGAGGAAAAACAGGTGACAGTTTATAGGTGGCAATAATACCACAGTTAAAGGAGAAATGAAGACAGGTATTCAAGCATCTGAGACCAGGAACTGGGTTGCTTAACAGAACTGCTTTCCTGCATGTGAAAAACTTGAAGGCTGTGTGCCAGTTTTATTTTGTATGTGAGGGATGTCAGCAGGCGCTGAAATGCTGTCATTACTCTGCACCAGAAAAGATCTAATACAATGCCCAAAGTGCTCATGCAGACAAAAATAGAACAGTGCAGTAGCTGCAGAACATTTCCCATGGAGTCACAGTTTCAGCTCAGTTACAGGGGATAAGAGCCTATGATGAATTGGACATGTCCCACAATAGGGCTTATAGTCCGAGAGGAGGAATGCTGCCAGTGGAGAGTCACTCTGGAAATCCTGTTGAGGGGATGTGAAGCGACGTTCAGCCCGATCAATCCTGTTTTTTGTCACCTCTCAGGGACCACTTGTCAAAACAGCAACCTTGCACTTTCACATGTGACAAGAATCCAACTTCAGCATATTCAGTGCGTTTTAACTTTGTCTTAACAAAAGCCAGAGTTGATTCATTCCCTTCCCAGCATGTGTAATTTATTAACATCGAGACTGCACTGCAGCTGAACCAAGATGCTTGAGCATAACAGGATTATTGTTGTGGAGAACTTTGGCACAATCTGAGCTAACTTTTTGCAAAGGGAGTTTTTCTGCAGGCAGTTATTAGTTCTTTTCTTTGTGCTGGCCACAAGCCATCTCACTGGAGTCAAGGCTTCCGTCGAAAAAGTGCAGAGCCCCCTAGAGGGCATAAATTACTGCGGACTCCTGCTACTGTCAAACGATACCGATTTGAAATCCCCAAAGTAGTTTGTTCATCACAGTTGCCTTTCCACAGCCACTCTGCTACTCTCATCGGTACCATACGTTAAGTATACACACTCAGAGGCATGACAAAAGTTAGGAAGACTGAGTGCATTCTATGATGAGACTAACTTCATGTGAATTTGGCGAGAAATAAGGCGAGTAAGAGGAGGGATGACGAGAGTGTTGAGGTTTAAATAGAGTCTCAAGAGGGAGTGAAATGGGTACGATATGTAGACTGGCAAAACGATGGGATCAGCTTTATGTGGACACTTCCAAAAAGCTCAAAAACACTGATAAACCTAGTGGGGAACTTATTGTAAGAAGTTTCCAGGACATCTATTCATGCAAAAAGTGTAAAACAATTAGAGCACTGATTAAATATTAGTGGGCACATCAAGAGACAATTACACGGCAAATCTAATTACACGAGTAAAAATCATCTCAGTTTAGTCTTCAAAGGGAACATCGTGTTTGAGGACCACATGGCATGAAATATGCTGTATATCCTGACATTTATGTGCCCTACATCCAAACACATTTGTACTGTTGGCGTGGCATTAAGTTCCCAGCTGTGGGCATCAGTCATGCGATTCGAGCAGATGAGTTCTGTGGCTGTGTGCGTTAGTAACGGTCAGGGTTGCGAGCCTGCATCCATTCCGTTCTGACCTTTTTGAAAAGTCTGATGACATCCTCGCCCACGTGCGCCAAACGGACAATGACGTTGCTGTTGTAGATGTCGCTGAGAGTGGCGTGGTCTCTGCTCTCCCGGCGAGTCTGGTCCAGCACCAAATACCAGCAGTTCACAGTGGACAGGAGGTTTTGGTCTTTTCTGAAACAGCAAGGGGAAGACGTCGTTAGCATGTAAATACTGAATTAAGGTTATGACTTCAAGGGACACTTAATACTTAACTGTAATTTCAGACCACCCAACCTGAACTGGAAAATTTTAATTATTAGCTGCAACACAAAGTAAAAAAAGCAGCAAATGCCCTACACACACCAAATGGTGCATGACTGATTTCAGCTTTGAGCAAAGCGTTTGGCACTCGAGCGCTGGCATGTATTTAAACATGAAGCTCGATGAAGACTTTCTTACTGCAAGAGGCTTCGGCTCTATCATCTGGTACCAGCTCTGGGGCTTTACATGGTACGATCAGGAGGTCACTGCACATGTGGTGAGGAATTAACAAAAAAGGAGGCAGTCGTACAGTTCACTAGCACACTCCTTGGCACGCATTGACACACACAGACAGGCGGCATGCTGACAGCCGCTTTGCTCAAGAGAGCATGTGAGTTCAATTATCCTCGTACTAAAGAGTTGTTTTCTTCTTGTCTTTTGTCTTTAGAGAGCGTTTAAGTCTTTTCCTAACCACTGTGACTACATACAGCGCCTATAAAAGTATGCATCCTCTCGTCTCCTTTTAGTGTTTCTCAACATTAAATCACGGTCAATTTCATTTGGGAGGAGACACCTACGACTCCTCTGAAAGCGTTACAAGCCAGTCACAGTGATGGGTACAAGATGGTGTTTGGTATCTGATGGCCACAACACTACATTTTGAGCTCATCAGACTAAATAACTTTCTTCCAGCTGACTTCAAAGTCTAACACATGCCTTCTGGTGAACTCTAGCCAAGATTTAATACAAGCTTTTTTTCCCCAACAGTGACCTTCTCTTTGCCGCTCGCCCAGAAAGCTTTGACTGGTGAACAGTTTTATGCACAGCGTCACCTACTTCAGCTTCAGAGGAGTCATAGGAGTCTTGGTGGCCTCTTTAGTTTCTTTCCAGGAAGACTCATGTATGTGAAATGTTCCTTCCATTTCTCAATGATAGATTTTAACTGTTATGCAAGAGCTACTCAGTGGCTTGGAAATGTCCTTGTATTCATTCCCCGACTTGTGCCTTTTAATAACCTTTCCAGGAAGTTGCTTTTAGTGTTCTTTTGTCTTCATGGTTGTAGTTACAGCCATGAGTCACCAGTTCACACATTCACTGCACTTGGATGATCTTCATTTCACTAATTGTGTGACTTCTTACATCGACCTGCTGTACGTGTGGTGAGTCACTTCAAAAAGTTATGAATCCTTAGGCAGTTATTTGTTTCATATTATAGTACATTATTTATATTTTTAAATAATTGACGTTGCTTTGTAGAAATCTGGTTTCACTTTGACATGAAAAATCAGTTTTTGTAAATTCTCATCAAAAGAAAGTCAAATTAAATTGACCATGATTCAGTGTTGAAAACCAATAAAACAGGGAAAACGTCCAAATACTTTTTATAGCGTCTGTATAAAAAATGCCGTATCATATTACTTGTTATGCAAAGGCTGCTTAAAAGCTGTGTCTATAAACACATTCTTCTGCTGGACAATCGATGACATATGCTGGGATTCAAACCGAATCCAAGTCCGCTTCTCCTTTACTGATTTATGAAAAGAGAAGATTAAAGTCAGGATGAATAACGTTGACTGTTTGCATATCTTTGTTGACAGGGAAGCGGACGTTCAGAAGGCACTTCAGATGTAGATAGCCGTCTCTGCTGATTTGCATCCACATATCAAACCTGCAATAAGTTGCTATGGAGTCATTAGTGTGTTGGTCAGTGTGCCATCCTTCCTGCCATAGCCTCCCCCATAATGCACAATGATCACTGCTTGTAAAGGTAGAATTTATGGCTATCCATCCATCCATCCATTATCTATACACCGCTTAATCCTCACTCGGGTTGCGGGGGAGCTGGAGTCTATCCCAGCTGACTCAGGGTGAAGGCAGGTTCACCTGGACAGGTAACCAGTCTATCACAGGGCTACACTTAGAGACAGACAACCAAGCACACTCACGGACAATTTAGAATCACCAATTAACCTTAACATGTTTGTGGACTGTGGGAGGAGGCTGGAGAAACCGGAGAGAACCCACGCTGCATGGGGAGAACATGGAGACTCCACATAGAAAGATCCCGAGTGTCCTCACTAGGACAGCGACCTTCTTGCTGCGAGGCAACAGTGCTAACCACCAAGCCACCAATAATAATATGAGTTGTCATCTTGCTAGCTCCTTCTTATGTAGACAAAGAAGAAACAACGCACATATTCCGATTGTACCACAATACTGAACAAAAACACCAAACGCAGCAACAACGTACCATCCCAAACCTCAAGCAGCAAACTCAGCAAAGATGGATTAAACAACCAGCAGTGATGAGATGATGACCTCAGTAGGTATCAATAATGTGCCTCACTGAAAGGTGCCTTTTCAAGCAGAATACAATACTAGCTGCAGCAGCTGCAGGTTTTCAAGTCAATAAACTGACCCGACCAATGTCCTGATAGTTTAGAAACAAGATAATATTACAATATGATATGCACAGAGGGTGTCTGAAACATGCAGCCACTGGGACACAGAATCAACAGGCCATCGATGTGCAATAATAATAATAATCAAACGCATTTATATTAAAGCTCAGTCTCTTATTTATTGGTCAAACTGCAAATAATATTTAGTGAAGACTCTGGCTTTTATTATGCAAACTGTACAGAAAGCACTATGTTAAGTGTCATAGATAATTCAATAGAGATTGTTTATTAAATGTATTTACATCTCCATAGCAGACATTTCATAGATTCCTTTGCTATTTCTCGGTGTTGGGAACCTCAATGTGACAGCTCTTTTTTCTCACTACAATCACCTGGTCCAGTAATAGAGATTGATCACATGTCATTTTCATCTAACATGCAGGTTAATGTGCCCTTAAAACAGTGTAGCATTTAAAAACTTCTTAACAAGTCTCGATTGATTCTTGTCTATAGATTTATGTCCAGTAATTTTGTACTTGTACGGTTGGACTCTCTGTACTTTGTCGTCTAAAAAACAAAAAACACGGATGCAGCGCAGCATCTTCATGTGAATCTGAAATACAGAAGTTATTTTTGACTCTAATCTTAGTTTTGAAGATCACACTGAAAGAGAACTCTTCACTTGTTTTCTGTCAACCGCGTCAAAACTTTGATCATCTCCATCCTCGGAGAATTGTATTTACGCTTTCATTTTCTTTTTGAAGTGAATTATGGCTGTTTTTTTTCCCCGTCTCGGAGAAGCTCACTCTAATCTTCAGCTAATGCTACCAGAGAAGAAAGGAGGTATGGCGCCCCCGTTCTAGTTCGTGCATTCAAAATAATGCTGAAGTTTAAGAAGACACTTAACTTACACTGACTTATTTTCATTTTAACTTTGCTTATTTGTTTCAGAAGTTAAATCAACCTCAATTAGTCTGTATCTGAACCCTGTTTTTTATATTTTCATCATTCAACATTTGGCTTTTTTCATGCTTGCGGTTATATCTGGTTAGATTTAAAGCTCAGTTTGACTCTGTCCTCCTGTCTGGACGAATTATGTTGGAAAAAGTGGTCCAAACTTAAAACCTTTCAGACTGCTGTTCTGTACAAAGTTAAAAGAGATGTTCTCATGTGATCCTAAAGGTAATCTGGAGTGCTGGGTATCAGCATCTCCTTTTTGCTTTTCCTTTCATCCTTTAACTCTTTGAAAAAAAACAAGACGAAACCATCCCTACAGGCCTCCTTTCAAGCACAGCAGGTGTTTGATCCTGGACACGGGATGGCAGCAACCTGAATGTAAATGTTTGGCTGTTGGCTGCTCCTGAATAAGTATGAGGCAGTAGTGTTCAGGACACAAAAGGAGTTGATGTCAAAACTGTTCATGGAAGATGACAGAAGGAGGTTTTACACCTGACAGCCTACAATGAGAACAACGATATCGCGACATGCTCTCCGCATCAGATAAACGCAACACTCAGCTGAGTTTGCTGGCAATTCAACCACGTACCGCACTTACAACTGGTGGAAAACAAACTGCAAGCGTACACAGAGTCATTATTTTTCCTGCAGCCATTTAACTATATGAGGTTTTTAAAAAATGCTCCCTGACAGCCGCCTTTATTAGAGACAGAAATTAAAATCTGAAAGGATCACTGATAAGAAAAAAAAGTCCCTTCTGTAACTCCAGGGGAAAGGCTGCACCGTATTATTAATGATAAAGACTTCGTCACACCGTTTTAGTCTGCGAGTACGAATCCAGCTTTTGACAGACAGACATGATGATGACCATTTAATGTGACGCAGGAGAATCTGGGACAGTGGTGGGGTGCAGAGGCAAGTCATGCAATGTGAGCTTTTTTTTTCTAAACAGGGGTCTCCCTATGAGGGAATGCTCCATTTATCAACATCCCAGTGACGGCGAGCTCTCCAACATGATTACGCTTTACGTCCAATTGGCTGGAGAGACTGAAAGAGAGATGGAAGGACCTCTCCTGAATAAACCAACATGTTTGTTATGCCTGACTGACGCAGCCAGGTCACATGAAGGAGCGTACAGCCGTCATGAATCAATTATCTCACATGTTCTGTAGTACTACATGTGAAATTTTCTGCATTGCTTATCCAACGCTGCTTAGGGCAGATTTTAATGTGACACTCAATGTTTTCTTTCCAGAGCTTTCAAAGCTTAATTGAAAAATCTTTTTGTAATATCAATTTCTCAGAGGCATAAATCTCAAATTTGTACTCTTATTATCAGTTTTCAACAAATCTTTAAAGCACTCTGAAATGCAAAAACAGAGCTGTACAAATATGGTTTGATTCATTCATCTTTCAGCCTATTTGCAAACTTTTATGTACCATATTTGAAGTGAGCATACTTCTGCTGCTCATCCCTGTTGTTTTCCATTATCTCCTATTTATGCTCAGGGATTCTAATCAACCACGCAGACATGAGCAGCACATACAATCAGAACACAGTCCAAAAGTCAGGGTTTGCTGCAGGCCTCGTCTCCGAAGCAGCTCCTCAGCGTGCTGCAGGGTATGTTTGTTTCATGACCGCTGATCTCACATCCAGTAAAAACTACTGAAGTCGATCTGGGTAAAACAGCCGCTCTTGTTTGTTTGTCCAGATTCCTAAATGAAGCTTTCATGTATTTACTGTGCCCATTGAGAAAATACATTGGGTTAGCAGTCTGGTGTGAAGTTGTTTGAGAATGGAAATGAAATGACAGCCACAGAGAAAAGACGGGGGATGGATAAAGAGTCTGACCTAGTTGGGAGGAACACAGCAGCCCGAGGCCACAGGCTTCCTTGGCCCTGGCTTCATTTCAGGTCATTTCTTTTGCTTCCATCCCTCCTCTCCTTTTTTGCTGTTTATCCCGCCCCCCCTCACTTTTCTTCTGTCTCTGCTTTCATCTGTCTGTCCAGCGCTGGTGATCAATATAAAATATGTGGTTTAACAGGCAGACACATTGGACACAGACTGCTTTACACAGTCTGGAGGGACTCACTTGAAGTGCTGGTGCTCTCTGGAGGTGCGGATCTTGGAGGAGTAGCGCTCGGCCAGTTTGTCCAGGCCTCTGGAGTACTCCAGCTGGAGCTCGGCCTTTCGGCGGAAGAACTCCTGCAGGTCCTGCAGCAGCTGCAGCCGGGACTCGGACTGCTGTTCCAGACAACGGAACTGCTCCACCAGCTGGTTACGGATCTCTGCGAATCAAAAGGAGAGACCGTCTTCAGAATAAATAAAGCCTCTCTGAGAGAGTGGGCTTACATGCTGGGCCTCACTTCTGCCTGCCAGACAGTGCTGCAGGTCAGCACTAAACCCACAGCGTTTCAGCAGCGGATCGAGTGAAGCATGTAAACACAAATATGTGAGGATACAGTTAAGCCAGCACAAGCACTAATAAAAGAAGAAAGTCATCATAATTGGATAAAACCGGATGTCAAAGTGCATTTGTCTGCTGTCTGTATGTGTGTGTGTGTGTGTGTGTGTGTGTGTGTGTGTGTGTGTGTGTGTGTGTGGTGGGAGGGAGGGGGTGTCTAAACGCTGGGGTAGCACACGTGCATATGAGATGCACGTCTGATGATTGCAGCAGACAGCACGGAAAATATAAAATAGGTCAGCTTCTCAAAATGCATTGTGCTGAGCGAGCCTTCAGAGAAGTTTGTCTTGAGAAAACAAATTGCAAGCATTCTTTCGATTACAAGATTACTGTGGTCTCTGTGTATGAGGTCTGGAAAACTGCTGCTCTTGTTCATAGTCTGAGAATGAAGAACAATTATGTTCATGTCAAGAATTTTGAAAATATACTTGATGTGGTATTTATAACCACGGGGCTTACAGATACGGAAATCGATACTTGTCGAATTAGATTCCTCTCATTACAACTAGGTATTCGTTGTCCAGGAAACATTCAGGTGTCGTTTTGTTCAACTCATACATCTCATTATTAAGTAAACTTGAATTTGACGGTTTCCTATAAATCTTCTCAGTGGTAGATTTTTTTTTTTGACCAGAGCTAAACGACTGGACTCCCTCCTGGGCAGCCTCTATTGATATTTCAGTAGGCTGCTCCTAGGGATTGCAGCTAATAAAAGCATCCAATAAAGTAATAACATCACTTTTACAGTCTTACATTAACACTGAAAAGGAATACAAATCACATTCTGTGTCATCCGTATACTGTTTATTGTGAGGCCGTCGTAAATCCCGGGGCTAAGAGGCTGCTGAATGTGAATCGTATATCAAGTCAGAGCAGAGGACAGATTGATTTGGTGCATTTGGAATGTCCTGGTATTGCAAATATACACTAAATTCCTAAAATGATCAAGCCGGGGCTGAAAGAAATAAACAGATCAATAGCTATTTATTACAACTACATTTTGTAAGTCTTTGATTTCAATTTGCTTGAGAATAACAGCCGGATAAAAGAAATTTGTCAATCAATAATACAATAAAAATCACCGTATAACAAGATAATTTCGCAGAAAGCCAACAAACAACCAGCCTTTTCCAGCATTGTGACAGTCGAAGCAGTTCAGTTTAGCGTATAGCATGTCAACCTAAACTACTGCTGAGTTCACATCTGTGGATTATAAATACTTGCATATGTACACAGGGAGAATAAACAAAGCTTCTCTCTGTACGTGACAATAAGAACCAGTTGAGCAACACTGAGACGGCTGAAGTTTCCACTATGACAGACTGTTACAACCATGCATATGATTGCCGTGCACTGAGAAGACCTCTGTATGAATCCATCAATGGAAAAGATTGCCCAGCACAAGAAAGGCCTTTTTGTTCCGTCCTAAATGCTGTTTCTGTATCTACAATAAAGGGGTTTCGACAATGCCTCCCTGAACGTCTGCGAGTGGAAACGTGAATGAGTGAGCAGGAGGCAGAAAAACAGAGTAAATATGTGGTCCCTTGCTATCTGTAGATGCACCCCTCGTGGTCCCCACAGTTGCCCAGTTGCCTGGTTACATGCCTCTGGAGGCATCTCAATGAGAGCAGGCCAGTTCTCTGCTCTGACAGTCGCAGCAGTCAGTCTGTTTAGCATAATGGCCAAGGACAAGGGCAACTTACTCTGCTTCGAAATACTCAACAAACAGCCTGTGATGATGAATGAGGCAGCAATCAAGTTCAACACAGACAGAACTGTCTTGTACTCCTGTACTAAAATAGACCGCTGAACAACACAATTTGTCGGCCTCTGCGACTTAAAAAATCTTTAGTCATACGGTGACGGTGCACAAGAGTGAGCAGACAATACGAGGAGCAAATCAAAAGTGATTTCACTCCATAAATTTCTAAGGGAAACATCAAATAGACTCATGATATTTGCATTCGCTCTCCTGTGAGGATGTTATTTTTAGATCCTAAACTGTTACTAGGGACGGTGCAATACTGCACTACATTCGATGAATCATTCAAGCCTTTGCAGAGTAATGCATAATTACATAGAAGCTGGCAAGGAGTTCAAGCGAATTATATACCAAGAAATAAGCCTCAAAAAGCTAAACGCAGTCTTTCTCTTTTCTATCTTTTTATTGACGACACAAGACCAATGAAACACTGAGGCACATGCTGTACCAGGTTTTCTTCCTTCGAACAGTGTGCAGCCAAAATGAATAAAATGTTCCACACCCAAAGGCTTGTGGAAATTCACTAATAGGATTTCAGACATTTGTAATGTTATTTTCTCCAAACCCCAAACGGTTAATATCCTGACATGTACTGGTGACTTTAACAAGCATTCTGAGCATAAATTAATTGCTTCCAGAGACTTGTGGGGGGCAACGCTGAAGGAGAATGAAGAAAAGAGCTCTATATGCTTAAGTCACTGGAACACAGCGAACACAGCACAAAGCATGCTGCAAATGTGAATATGTTAGAGCCTTTTAATACATAAATACAGCAACTAAAATCCGCTTGATCCTCAGCTGAAACGTAACCGTATCACCCACATTGTTTAGTAAATTCCCGATAATTAAAAGCACAGACTTGGAAAGGGAAAGTGTCTGCCTGCACTCAGCTGCTACAAGCCTTGACCTCCTCCAAAGGTCAAAAAGACAAAACACACCAAGTTCAAACGCAGCATGTCTGTGGCGGCTACAATCCTGGATCTCTGACAGACAATTTATTGAAATCAGGGGAAGATATTGCTCACTGTTGCCTTGCGGCTTTGCCAGTTCGGCTCCTGCATCACTGCAGCATAAAGCATCAAATATCACATAGTGAGGAGTCATTGTCACCACAGAAACCTGTTTAAACTAGCCTAGCGCAGCTATTGCAGTGGCCAGCAGCAGTCTCTGGGGCTGTGTCTGCAGTTAGCCATGCGTGGCTAGTCACATGGGGGCTAACCCAGACTGACACGTTGACATAATTTGGTACAAATCAGAGCTCTGTTCTGTGAACACTTGTCTTCTGAATGTAGTAATGGCTATGGTATGCCTTTATAGTCCGTTTGCTTGAGTTCACATTTCTTCCCTTCTCCCTCCACACAAACATCTCTAACAAGGAAAGGCATCACTGTTTGTGCAGCCACAGGACAGGAAAAACCAGGATGCAGCGGGCTGAATTCCAAACAGTTTTGTCTTCAAATCTTGCAACGCTCAACTGTCAGCACGAAACTGTCAGCACAGCAACAAACAGTGTCTCATACACGTTACCAAGACACGGGCAACAAAGATGTTGTTTAACTGGCGTAATGCAACCCTGACATTTCAAGGCAGTATCAGTCGATGCATTCTTTCATTATGATGAATTCCCACAGAGGGGTGTGTCCGCAGGCTCCCCATGGAATGCATATCTGCACTGAGCATGGTGGCGGTAGGCGTGCTTATCGTAGGATGCTACTTTGCATTGTCAGTAGGTCGTGTTACAAATATCACAGCCTTTCCCATTTCTGCCTTTTTCCAATATTTTGGGAACAGACGCCCAAATAAAGTCAGAAATAATGTACACAGATTATGTAATGATATGCATTAACTTAGCAACGGCAAATCTAGTAAAGGTATTGTATTATAGCCCGTTACAGAAATGTGTGTGCAAGACTCCAAACGGATCAAATCGCATTAAAGACAATGTGGCTTACAGCTACAAGTACAGCATGACGCATGATGAGGGGCATCCCCTCATTTAGTGGTGTTTTGGTTTCAGATTAGCAGGAAGCTTGGAGGCATCTCAGGCTGGTCATCTACACAGTTCACCAGGAAAACAGTCACTAAAAAAAAAAACGGCTACTCCAGAAGACAGCTTTGATCACAAACAAAAGAAATATTTAAGTAACAATCGCTAAATGGTGCCTTGACTTTATGACACAAAGCTGTATCTTGTCTCACTGAGAGATTGTTCAGTCATCAGTCAGGCCGTAAAGCCGAGAGCTCAAAACCCACAGCAGCACACACGACGTAACCGAGACCCCGCTGTTTACTGAAATGTGGCATGTTGAAAAATGCACCAAAGTGCATTAGGCTTGTGTCTGATTGAACCGCTGTGCAGTCAGCAACTCAGCATTATTGGAGGCCAGTGTCAGTGTCAGAATAAAGCCCCCACAGCTCCCAAACGATCTAAGCCCAGTTTGCAAATGAGCTTAAGATGTCAGCTTAAAAGCTTTTCCTGAAACTGAGACGAGAGATGGAGCTGTGATGGTTTGCTCCCAGCCGCAGAGCTGATGTGTAGACCAGAAGAAAGAGTGCGTGAAAGACGGCGAGGGAGTCGAACAAACAAACAAAGAGAATGACAAGCAGAGTTTAAACCACACCTCAGACTGCAAAATACTCATCATTCTCTTCATTCCAGATGCAGCTGACGAGCTTTTGTCCTTACAGCTCAATGTACAACAGCAGTGACGTTTAATTAAGTCTATGAAGGTAAAACTTCATTTCAGCATCCTTTAGCGCTGCCACTACATTTCTGAGTGTAAAAAAACATTTGAACAAGACTATAATTCTGAGTAAAGAGCTGTTTTTAATGTTTAATGTGTGTTGCCACTTAATATGAAATTAATTAAGAAAAGCTTCGTTTGATTCTAATCGGGTGCCAGGAAAATTCAAAGCCTGATGCAAATTGGTCCAGATTAAAGTGCAATGAAATGTATACGCTGAGAATCATCGAATAAAAAAATGATTAGTTGGATGACAAGTCCAACATCGCTCCTGTCTGAGGAAGCATGGAGCTACTTGCTAGCTTAGCTTAGCACAAGGCTGGCGAAAAGGGGAAACAACTCACTAGTCCAAAGGTTTTATTCTTTTTTTTTTTTAAAAAAAGAGCCTCCCAGCATTAAGCTCACTCATTACCACATTACATCTTGTTTGCTTAGCCTATGAAAATACAGTTGTGTAAGAACAACTGGCTGGGACACCAGATTGCTAAACCAAGCTAGCTGCTAGCGCCTGCAGATTAGGGAGTGCTACTGATCTTCTAATATAATTACTAACAATACAAGCAATGGGTGTCTATCTGAAAACGTCAAAATATTATTTACATTCTTCATTTTTACCATACGAGGTGGAATTTACACCTGATATTAAGTATGAACTTGTTTACATGGCTGCACGTGTACTGGATCCATGCATAACCCAACAGGCTACGCTAAAGCTGCCACACGGGTCACCATCTAAACAACAAACAACCACATGACATGGTGGAGATCTATACAATTATTTCACACCTTCAGTGAGCGAAGCCCGAAGCTCGCTGTGGTGTTTTCAGTTGAGGTATTTTGCTTCAAAGAGACTGTGCAGCAGATTCAGGATATATTCTAAACCGGTCTGTTTCTACTGGACCAATTAGCTTAATTATAGCCTATAGTAACAATAGGCCCAAACCAAGCTGTGTTTGTGCCGGACCACTTGAAACAGCACCAGGTTGAACAAAGCACTTTGTCCCGTAGGTTTCAACCACTGAGAGGTCATATAGTTAACAAATAATGGTTTAAACAGCTCAGATGGTAGAATAGGTTTAATTCTATCTATCTTTTTTTTAATGATTCGGTAAATACACTCATGTAGCTCATCTTCAGTGATGATTGAATTCATTGAATGTGTTTGGTGTATGAAAAAATCTCAACAAAATATGCTGATCACGCCCTGAAGCTCAAGACGTGGCCTTTAAAAACTCCTTCTAGGGAATATTTGACATTTTTGCCAAGAAACAGACCTCAGCAGATATTCAAACTGGTTGTCGTCGGCTGATATTTTCCACTCTGGCTGGTTAAAAACAATCATTTACTGCACAAGGAAGCCACGACGCCTGAACGACAGTGTTGCACGAAACCACAAGTGTGCAAGGTGATGCACTAAAGTGTGAAGAGCGAACACGACCTGAAGTTGTCTGTAAAAGGCCGATGAGACAGCCCACCCATATCCATCCTTGCACCGTCTGCTCCGATACAGCATCAGCCGTCCTGACTCTCGCCTCTCTCCGGGTGGTTTATCCAGTCACATATTTAGTGGCAGACAGTAAAATCCTTTCATGGTTCATAATTCATACAGACAGCATACATTATTTATGGACTTTCTGAACTGTTGGCTGTGTGACCTTCTCAAGCATTCCCCTCTTCATCCTCACATTACGCCACATTTTGTCCTGGAGTGGCAGGAAAACACTCTTGTCTTTGAAATCACACTGATCATGCCATTTACATGTCATTTAATGTGATCTTTTGACCTTCTTTTCCTTTTTTCCCCCCACATTTAAGCAGCAGTTAAATGTGCTCCAGTGGTAAAAGAAACAACAGCTGCACTTTGGAGCAAATTATGAAGCTCCAGCAGCCTGCATGGCCACACATGCAGGGCTAGGCATGTTCTGGGACTGGAGCAAACAGGCAAACCGGTTGAGCCAAGTTACATCCTAATTATTGCATGAATAAAAAAAAATACAGTGCTGCCACATAATCAGAGCTAGGGTTGAGTTAAAATGTCATTAACTCATGCGTAAAAATAAAAAAAAAAATCCACACAATGTGTCCCACCCCACACAACAGCACAGAAAGCCATATAAAGCTTGTGGTAAAGTTACGCAATAGTGCCTCCACACAGTGAATAACAATGCGATCGGGCCTGCACGTTACCAACCTTTCACTTGGGTCTCATACTCGGCTATAATCTCTTTGTCCTTCTTGACTTTCGCCTGAGATGACATTTTGGGCGATTGCGCGAAGCCTCGAGCCAGGAGGAATCTCTGCCGCCGCGATGCAGCGTTTCAGTCCCCCTCCTCCTCCTTCTCCTCCTCCTCCTCCGTCTGCAGCCTCCCTCTCCCCGGATAGTTGAGCAACAAATCAGACGCGAACCATCGCCCGCTTTGCACAACTTCGGAGGGTTTTTTAAGACGCACTTGGAGGCTCCGCGACGTCGCCGCGCGCTGCGTTCGAGGCTCCGTCGATGTTAAAAGTGCATACTGATGTCCGACCACTCCTCTCCGCCCAGACTCTGCTGCTGCTGCTGCTGCACAGGAGACGAGCCCCGCTGGAGGTTCATGTCACACGGCCGCTGGAGGGGGAGGAACAGCTATGGCAGCCCCGGTGGATAATGCTTCTGCACAACCCTGTCCAGTCTGCCTTTCTCTTTTTTTCTCTCTCTCTCTCTCTCTCTGCAAGTTCAATGCTGCAGAAAAAGGCTGAATGGATGTTAAAGTCAATGTGAGACTCCTCCCCTCCAAACCCCCTCTTCCTCCTCCTCCTCCTCCTCCTCCTCCTCCCTCTTCTTTTCCCACTTTTTTTTTTTTTCTTTTCATGGATGATTTAAGATTCTTCTGTGAAATGAAAACCTTTGCCAATAACAGACACGTCGTCAACATGCCAGAGCTGAGGGGAAATCACACTTTGATTGCTGTGTTTCAGGAACATCAAAAATAACTACAGGGCACAAGAATAGGGGCAAATTAGCCTGTAAATGTTACTATTCTGACTAATTCCACATTTATCATGATTTAATTGCCATCTGAAATACTAGCAGCATTAAATTCCTGCATTTTTCTCGTATTTTATGACATCATTTACACTCTGCATCTCAATTTTATGACACGATTGTTTTCTCATATTAAGAAAACTACATCTACATACTCATCTGCATTAACAAGTACTTCATGCACGTCCATGAAAAGTTACAAGACACAGGTTTAGTGCTGCAAAATACTACATTTCCCACAATGCAACCTCTTCTAATGCCTCTTTCTGTTTGCTAAATGTGTCTGTATTACTTAATTCCCCTTCATGATGCATGCTCCCTGTAAAAATAACTGCATCAACTCCAAACTGAGGAAAACCCCGATGATCTAATTTGGCTCCAGCATCCAGAGATTTCACAACTTCCTTTTACAGACTGTCATAATATCCACGCTGGGTAAGCTGATCTTTTTGTGTACAACCGCTGGAGTGTCCTTTTCAGTAATCAGCGACTCGGGCTTGGCGCTGGACAAAAAGCTAGACAGCAGTTTAATTTTGATGTGCAGTGACTGACCCTAAGCCATGGTGAGATAATCAGAGTGTTTTTGTCACTGGTGTGCAGCCACCACATGTATAGTCATGTGAAAAAATAAGTGTGACAGAAGTTCTTTGCTATTTTTTCCCCATTTGGACATGCTAATATGGGATTCTCTTTTAAACATTTATTTATACTCGAGCAAAAATTATTACATAACAAACACATCTGTCACATGGAAACTGTAAGCACACCCCTACAT